TAAAACTTAAAATTAATTTCTAACTAAATCTTCACATATTTATGGTTAATACTATATTATATTATTATGTTTAATTAAATTTTAAAATAAGTTCACTTTATTTTTACACTTTTATATAAAAATGACTAATATAAACTTAAAATATATATCCAACTATTAAATTATCCAAGATATTAATATAAATTTAAAATATCAATTCAGTAATTAAAATAATTTTAATTTTTTATAAATACATTGAAATACATTTTTATTAACATACAAGTAATATATATATATATATATATATATATATATATATATATATAAAAGAGATCTGAATTAATAATTAATTTAATTATTGATTTAGTGATCGATTCAAGAGACTAAATTAATAATTAATTTAATTATTGATTTAGTGACCGATTCAGTGATGACCGAATCGATGTGACCGATTCTAGTGACTAATTTAATAATCAATTTTAATTTTTTTATTCACATGCTAAATTAAAAAATAAAATTAAATAATTATATTACTAAATTATTTAATAAGTTAGTAAACTATTTTTTTAAAATTTTTATAATGTTATTAACAATGTTATCACTTATTTTAAATTATTAAGTAGATTTATATTTAAAATATTTTAAATAAAATATTTATATAAATGAAAAATAGTTATCAATTTAAAAATTATTTTTTTAGTGATCGAAAATTTAGTCACTAAATCGAGTTACTAAATATAAAAAAAATTCGATCACCACTTTCGGTCACTATTAACCATTTTTCTAGTAGTGATCGAATCGATGACCGATTCTGTGATCGAATCAGTGACCGATATCTCGTGATCGAAATTTTAGTCACTAAATCGATCACTAAATATAAAAAGGGAAATCAGTCACTGATTCAGTTACTATCAGTGACTGAATTTTTCAGTCACTAATTTCGGTCACTATTTGGTGTTTTTCTTGTAGTGATTTACCGACGGATATATCCGTCGGTAATTTTTATCGGTAATTACTGTTTTCCGACGACTACATATCCATCGGTAATTAATTATTTTTTTTTATTGCTCCCATGAAAAGAGATACATGAATAAGGATTTACATTAGTTATTGGTTGAGATTGATATGTCATATAATAGGACTTTTGAGATAGTTAAATATTATATCTACTTCTAATAGATGACCAAAGAGAGCTCGATGCCACTATTAATATTTAGAAATAATAGAAAAGATAATTTATTATTTAGTGGTGGAATGTTTTGAAATAGAGTATACTTAGAAAACTTGGTAGATAGTATTGTCTATTTAAGTTTATATATTAAATACCAATTCTAAGTTAGTCTATAATATTTTGGATAATTATAATTTTTTTTTAATTTTAGAATTATTCATTTTCTACGTTTAAATATTTCTAAAATATTTTAATGATTCTAAAAATTATTCATATAAAATTTTTAGATCTTGTATAATATCAAGCATTTTATTTTCTAAATGTTTGTAGAATTTGACCTTTCATCCTGTACGGTGATAGGCAATTTTTTAAACCATGATATCAAGTGTGTATTAGAATGAAAATGTAATGTAGAATGATTTGAAGTTTGAAATTGAATTTGGAAGCTTACTATAACTTCACATAATTGTTAAGTGGTAAAAAGTTGATATAATTATATCGTAAATTGTTATAAAACCACTTAACTGATGTTAATTCTAATCTATTTTTCTCCCAATATAGGATGAATTCAAGAATACATTGATACAAGAGTAAGGAGCATGATTGATAGAAGAATTGGAGTAAAACTGGAAGAAGGAAGAAGATTTTCAGCATGGAAGTCATTCAAGCGAGATGGAGTTTCGCTTGAGCGAATGTTAGTTATTCTTCTCTGGAATTCACTCGCTCAAGCGAATATCAATTATTCTTATCTAGAAGTTAGTCGCTCAAGCGTAGGAAAATTTGCTTGAGCGAATGCTAGTTATTCTTCTCTAGAGTTCATTCGCTCAAGCGAGCGTTTTGTCGCTTGAGCGAAAACAGGCTACTTTCGCTTGAGCGAAAGACACGAAACCCAAAAGCCCACATTTTTTCAATAAAAAGAGAATATGTGTTTTGAGAAAAGTAAACAGTCTTGGAGAAGAGGAGACACGACTACTGTTAGGGTTTCGTCTAATCTTCATCAATTATTTACTTCTTCATCAACTAAAGTATTGTAATGACCAACATGAGTGACTAACTTCATTCTCTTAGAATTCAATGCACTTCCTTTGAACTCTTTTGTATCATGGTGATATTTTGAGATATTAATATATGTTTTGATGTTGTTATTTTTATCCTTTGTGCTTTGAAATGATTTATTCTTGATGTTTGGGGTATGATTGGAAAATATATCTTGAACCTTAGATCATGGTAAGAATATTTGTTACGTTAATTGTCAGGAATAGAATGAATGTATCAATTGTTTAATACCCTAAACCTAATGCTGAGAAATCTCTTAATTGTGTGAAGAATAAACATTTATTAGGTTTTCTTATGAATTTCATGTGTGAGGAATCAACATAGATGATTTGAGTAGGTGACATCAACATTGTTAGGTTAATTGACGTTCTTAATTGTCATAGTCATTACAAGAGAGATAAGGAAGGAAGTCAATCCTAAATACCTTTAATTGATATTTTCTCAATAATTTACAGTTCTTATCATTTAATTTCAATTCAACTCTTTATGCAAAAACCATTCTGTTTTAATCTCCTTAATAAACATACAATTGAGAATTTTTATTGAAATTGTTCTTCATTGAATCGATTTTTATTTAATCAAAATACTATACTACTATTGATAATTTTAATACGCTTGGTAATAAATCAACAATGAAGCATCATATTGGTGGCAGTTCAATTGGAGGGATAAGAGAGACGCAAGAAATGATTGATTTTGCTGCCAAGCATGATTTGAAATCTGATATCGAAGTTATTCCAATGGATTACGTGAATACTGCAATGGAACGCCTCCTCATGGCAGATGTGAAGTATCGATTTGTTATTCATATTGGAAACACGTTGAAGGCAAGTTCTTAAATATGGAACATGCATGCGTGTTTCAGATTTCAGAAACTAAAGGTAGGGTAGGGTAAGGGAAAAAGATTGAGAGTAATTTTTTTGGTTTTAGTATTATGTGTGTTTTTGTAGTGACTGAGATGGAACAACGCGGGGCAGGACTAAATCCAATTATATATATATATATATATATATATATATATATATATATATATATATATATATATATATATATATATATATATATATATAAAAAAATTAAATTACATTTATTTTATAAATCTAAATAAATAATTTTTTTACTTTTAATTTATAATAAATATCATATTTAATTTTTTATATAATTTTTTCTTTTATATTTTTCCCTTTTTTTCCTTTTAATTTTATCTTTTCATTTATTATATATCTATTTTTCTTTTACATTTTTATATTTTATTTTTATTATTTAAGAAGATTTTTTTTTAATTTTCACTATAACATAAAAATTGTATTTTTTTATTCATTAGTTTTATCATTTTTTTATCTTGTGATTAAGAAGCGTATTTTTTTATAATTTTATCTTTATAATATAAAAATTGTATTTTTTATCTTCTAATTTTATTGTTTTTTCTGTTTTCTATTTAAAAAGACATTTTTTTTATAATTTTTATCTCTATAACATAAAAATTGTATTATTTTTTATTCTTTAGTTTTTAATTTTTTTTGTCTTCTGTTTAAGAAGAGTTTTTTTTTTTTACGATGATCTTCTAAATAATAGAGTTTTTTTCGAATAAATTAATTCATTGACCGCAATTATCCACTTTTTTCTTATTCAAAGATTAACCTTTTATCTATGGTCGTTTTATCATTTGGAATTAGAACTTCATGAATTTAGTAGATTTTTTAAGAGGCTTTGATATGTAACATAATTTTTATTTTTTATATTTTTTTTGTCTTAGGTTCAAGAAGACATAAGAAAGTTAAAAAATAAAGGAAATATCACAGTAATTTTTTTTGAGTAAAAAAATAATAAACAAATGTATTTTTTATTGTTTTTCTTTATTATTGTAATAATTAACATAAAAATATAAAATATTAATATAAATTTTTTTATTTATTATAAATAAATAAATTATTTTAATATTTTATGATATTGTATTTTAATATTAAAATATAAAAAAAATTAGTTTGAGTTTTAAAGATATCTAAAACAAAAATTTTAGAATATTTAAAAAAAATTATTTTCTAAAAATTAAATTTAATTAATAATATTAAGTATATAAAATATTTATATTTATATGATAATTAATTTTTATATGTTAGTCTTTATCTAAAATTTTTTTGTTTTACTCGCTCTAATTAATTTTTAATTTGAGGATTTAGCTTGGTTATTCCTTGAGAAATAAGAAAAACGTGAGGTGTGCAAGCTTGGTTATTCCTTTGGAATGAAATCAGTATTGCATTACATTTAAAAGTGAGAAATTATGTGTGAATCTGGAGTTGTTTTCATTTTGATTGGCAAGAATTAAACAATTTTATAATTGAGCCAGCCTGCATGAAATAACAAAATGACTCCATTTTTCTTAGAGATTGAAGAAAATGTTACTGAAGAATCGTAAAATTTAACCCACATTCTATGTATTCTTCTTCAATAATTTCGGTATGCTGTTGAAAAATAAAGGTAAGATCCATACAGTAGTCGTGGCTGTTAGTTCTTTGATAATTGCATGAATGGAAAATATTTTAAAAAATTCTGCACTCACTAATTTAAATCCATTGAACATGTGACTTAGTTAATAAAATATTATGGTTTTATTAACAAAACATAAAATAAGCATGAAGACACATTAATATTAAATAAAAAATACTGGTTTTATTCTTTATTCTAAATTTCATTATTTCTATATAATAGCAAAAACTTCTATCCATGCTTATCTGCAAATTACAAGCTGAGAGAATCTAATGCAGATTCACACTACTACAAGTTGTAGGCACAATCAAGTATGTTTAGTCGTTGGAGGACTCTCTAAGCGGATATAATCATACATAATTCCTTCGAAAAGAGTTTTAGCAACTGATTGTGTCAAATAGATGATGTTCTTTCCTTTCACCAAATGATTACTATCTACAACTACAGCATATAACTTATACAATCCATGGATGCCGTGCCTTGCAATGGTATTGTCATCGCCAATTAGCTCTGTTGACAATTCGTAAGCCGTTGCTTTCGGGTTGTTGAACGTAATCTGATCATCCATCTCAAAAAATGTTAGACACCATGTCGCTGAAAGAAATAAACAAAATATCAATTACGGAAAAAATGAATTGCTGTGTACCTCCAATTTAGAATTAGTGGCGGATGCCATGGCCAATTGTAGTGTGTAGTTTCCCGTTATGACATTTTGAAGCTGGAATCGAATCTGCCATGTCGTTGGCAATGAGCTGGTTGCTGTGCTCCTGCATGCATCAGTGTAATTTAGAGGAGAAAACACATAATGGCAATAATAGAAAACTCTATATATTAGACAAAATTTACCTGGTAACTTGAGCATAAAACCAATCTTTACGATAGTCAGAAACACCGACTGTGTAAATGAGATCATTTTTTGGATATAACTCAGTGTAACGCGCCCACAAGCCGTATTGCCTAAACCTGTCACAGTAAAATTACTTTGAGGAAAACTGAAGAAGAGTGCATATTATCAGAAGCTAAAATTAGGTATTGACAATGAGTTTTGGGCTAACCCGTTTTTGCTATCGTTTAGGTATAATCTGTTCACAAGGTTTGAGTAAGGGTCTGGTACATAGAACTCTGCAGCTGACCTATCTGGGATCCCAATTTCCCATACAGTAGGACCATTTCTTGGTGGATTGTATACAAGGGAACCCAAGTTGATGTGGCCTCCTGCGGCACATTACATACAAGTTATTATCTCAAAATGCACAGGCTTATCATACCTTAACCAATTGGTCCCAAAGTTTAAATTCGTTGAATAAAAGCATAACTATCCTACACCTAAGATACGTGAGAGAAGAAGATGTTACCTGGTTTGATGGTAATAGTAGTTTTATATTTATAATCCCCTATAAAACCAGGAACCCATGAATACAGGTTGTAATCCCCAGGCACAATATTTTTGATTGAGAAGCTTCCATCTTTTTCAGTTTGAGTCCAGAATTGATAACCCTGTGAATAACATATAAGTCGAACACTTTTTAGCTGAATGCGTCACTAACCCTTCAAAGTTCAAGAAATTAAATTTCGTTGGCTCCTAAACCAAACGTACCTTGCTTTCTTCTTGCCATGATCCTGCATTTCCAGGTAAAGCTAGACCAATGTAAGAATTGCTAGCTGGTTGAGCTTTCCCTCCCCTGATGAATTAGGTAAAGCAAGGAATTCAGCTCACCTATATTAGTTGTTGATCCTATGCAATCAAAGAATAAGATGAAGGTAAAGGATTGACATCTACCTATCTTGGACTTGAAGTTGTCCTGAAACTGCTCCCCGTTGATTGGGTGGAATGAAATCTTTTGATCCAATGAAATCATATGGCCATTTTCCTACTTCAGTGGATAACTAATTTACCAAAGAACAATAATATATTGAGTCATAATAGGATACTTCACTCGAACAATATATAATGAATGATCATATGTGAGTGTTAAAGGTAATGATGACAACCTTTTCTACAGCATCTGACCACAGAGACTTAAACTGAGTTTGGCTTGGAGCAGAGTTAAGGTAAACAAAAATTGGTCCAAAAACCTTTTTGTAAGTCTCCCCTTCATCAAATGAAATGATTACCTTCTTGCCACCATAATGAGTGCTAGTAAACATCTGCACGCACGGAAAAATAAGAAAATATCAAGGGCCAATGTTGAGGGATTTGTTAGGTCTAACATAGAACTGTTGATGCATTGAGGGATTTGTTAGGTCTTACGGAAAGAGAAGTTGGTCCAACATGAGAAGTGAGGTCTTGCTTAGTGGGACCACCATTGCGGAACTCATTACTGGGAGTTATCACCCAGAAACCCACAGGTGCTGAATCATCCTTCGTAATCCACCCATGTAGAGAGTTATCTTTGTTGTCACACGAGTATTGGTATTTGTCATCAACCTAAGTCCAACAAATGCAGGTTCACATATATCATCAACATTATAAGCAACGAAAAGAAAAATAGAAAAAATCAATGTCAATTCAAACAGACCCATAAGCAAAAAAGAGTTACCTCTCCTCGAATATCTGGATCAGAAGCATGGGTTAAGAGAACAGCTTCAGGATACGCCAGTGGTTGACCCGTAGTTCTATCTTCCATAGTTGGCATTTTCCTTTGCCTAGTATCGGATATGGCCATATAGTGGAACCTGCATCATTGGATGGTTATAAATTAAGCATAGTTTTTTCTCTTCTTCCACTTTTAGAACTTCAAACTAATTTAACGGTACTTTAAAATGACATATACATGTATTCTCACTCCAATCTTTTAATCTTTTTATACTGCAGGAAATTTTCTTCTAGGCATTTCATAGTCTCAGTTTTAGTTCTTTCAAATTATGGGTCGATGAAAATTACTAGCATTAATTTTTTTCAAAATCAATTAGGGCAATTGTTTTTGGTTTTTTAACTTTTCTCACAGTAACGATTTTCTAGTTACCTGGCATCGTCGAGTTTGTAAACAATCCTAATCTGATAAACAACCACTGCAGGTAATCCTGGTGGACGAGTAAATATTGCGTACGAATAAAACCCAGAATCACCTCTTCGCAATATATACCTGCACAAAAATACGTTTATATCAAACAATGTTGATGACCTAATTCTACATTTGTTTCATACTGTGCAAAAAATTTTAGGTTTGAAATCCACACCTTTGGTCTATGATTATGGGGACACTTGAGCCTTTCATGGAGGTTTTCCATGTTTTTACAAATGAAACCTCCACTATGTCATCGTTTGCTTCAATGACTGAGTAATTTGTCCCATGGATTCTGCAGAACAGTATCAATGGTTAATTTTTCTCTTGAACTCCCACATGCATGCATGCATTGCTTTCTTATTGATTTTGTTATCTAAGAAAGAATAGAGACTAAAAACTAATGTGATGAATGTGTGAATTTAAATTCACACACACACACACACACACACACACACACACATATATATATATTTACCTCTCAAACACCCCAGGTTTTCCTGCGTCGTTCCAAACAACATCCAAGTACCTATAAATATGAAAGCAAGATTATATAAATGTGGATCAAATTTCTATGCCATGATATATGTTTTTGAAGAAAATCATAATGTAATTTATTTGGCATGAAGTAGTTTTTAGGTATATACATACCCTCTATCAATTTCCTCATTTTTTTGCGCAAGTATATTGTCACTTCCAGAATTGTACAGTCCAATGATATAGCCTTCGGGATTTGACAAATTGAGGGAAACTATGCCATTGCCAATCACAACCTGAAATCAAGTCAACACTTTAAATATCAAAACCTAAGTATTAATTTGACGAAAAAATTAGGCCAATTAATAGTTGTTTCTTTTATTCACTACTGCGAATTTAGAGATCATTAATTCAATATTTAAAAGTAGATTTTATTTGTATTTTCTTAATATTTTGATAGAATTCTATCATTAACACTGATTTATCACCTGCTGATTATCGGCATGCAGCTTGACTGCAAGAGGAGAAGTGGTCTTCGAAACTCTTCTGCAAGTGGAGGCATTAGGAAAAGAAGAGAGTTAAAAATCAAATCAAATAACTTCAAAGTGTGACGTTGTCATTTGATAATATTCAAATACAAAATAGAACAATGGACAATAGTTGACACTGAAATGAATGCATAGTTGTGCAATATTCTCACAAATTTTTATTTCAAAAATATAAAATAATGAGTGATGTAATATAGAAACCAAATATAAAAAGGTTATATTAAAAGATCAATGTGAAAAGATGTATATAAAAACAATGATATGTACGATCTAATATTTAATTAGTTCTATAAAAAGAAACGTGTTTGGATACCTAACTATTGGAATTGGAATCAAACAATATCTCGCCTTCATCACTTGATTTAAAAAGATAACAAAGAGAAAGATAAATAAGCATGAAGCTCATTGGTTGAAACTTAAAAAAAAAAAAAAAGATAAATTGGAAAAAAATTATGAACCTCACCTCAAAATGTTTTCATGGCTTCTTTGATTGGAAAATTGAGTGGAGATATGATGAAACTTATACAGTATTATATTCTTGAAGGAGGAGAAGGTGAAATTTAATTGAAGGGGCAGTTACTATTAGACAGTTTGGCAACATAAAGTTTTATGGTTCAATTTTGAAAAAAATGATTTACTTTCACCTATCTATGTGCATCAATTAATGTAATGCTAGCCCTGGCCCAACAAACATGTGTGTTTACCATTTAGCCTTCTCTCCCTCTCCTTTTTTTTTTATTCTTTCTATTAAAATTATAATATTTTTATTAAAGTAATAAAAAAAATTAATAACTAATTATGTAATACAACGAAGATGCATACCAAAATAAAAATTGAGAAAAAGGCTTGATTAGTTTATTTACTCAATTAATATATATAAGACAGAGAACAGAAGGTAAAACATTTAATTAAATGTTACCATGTCTATTTTTTTTTAAGGAAAATGATAGTTACATTCCATTTTTCAAGTATAAAATGTAGATGAAACAGAGAAAAAAAACAAGAGAGAAAAAAATAAATACGACAAGTAAAGTAATATAAAAACCAGAAAAAAAAATTGAATATACATTCATACATACAGGCAAATAGACGTATAAATGTATAAATGTGCAAAGTGATGTTATTAGGCATATATAAATGGCAAACTTCAATTTTAGGTGTATGGACTTTAAATTATTGTTATGTTTTGAAAGGGAGATTTGGTTGTTACTGAAGTAGACCATCAGCCTATACTATTATGAAGAGTGGTTTGAATAATGCAGTTACAGATATTTACTTAACAGACGTTAATTACAGTGAATTGCATTTTCATCAAATTTTGCGTCATTAAATACATGCAATCTATGTGTAGTATTATGAAAACATAAAGGAGGCATTTGCGACAGTCAAAGAATGCATGGTGCAGGAGAAGACGTGGATGCAAGCTACCCAATAAACTCTTTTTCATTGCCCCCATGGCTAGCTTGTAACAGGTCTTTTTGCTAAAAGTAAAGGATGCAAGTGAAAAGCACCATAGATAAATGAAGGACATGAAGTTATGACGAAAGTTCTCGTCTATAAACAGGATAAGAGACAAAAACATTACTGCTATATATATGGAATCGACGACTAACATTATATAATTTACTCATCTTCTGAGTGTATTTTCTCATCTTATGATTTCCTTTTCGTTTATGGTGTCACACAAAGATAAGCATAGAACAAAAGCAACATTGCTAACTAATGAAGAAGAAGCAAGAGAGTAGGGAGTTAACCTAAATGAGACACTCTCAGAAGAGTCAGAGAAGGCACCAAGAAAGATCAAGCTGAACAGCACAAATTGGAGTGAATCCTCTTTCCTTGTATGAGTTTCCACCATCGTCTTTTACCAATATGAGCCTGCAAATAACTTGAAAAAGGTTCATTTCAGGTTATAAAGGTCAGAAGAATATGTCGAAGAATGCCAAAATGAACTTTGATATGCTGAGGCATACTACCATGTGGCAAACTAACTCGACGAAATTAACAAAGATAAACCTTATTAGAATTCTGAAGAGCTCATACAACCTTGACTTTCATCGATGTCTTTCCCGCAAAAAACCGTTAATAGAGTTACAGAAAACTATATACATAGGAGATGAACATTGATGATATAGATATCTTTCTTTGGAAATTGTTTTTCTGTAATAAATTTCCTTGGAACCTTAATAAGCTCCTTCAAAAAACACGCGGAAGTGAATGAACTTATTGTACACAAGTACTCCTTTACGTGAATTTTTTTAAGAAATAATTGTGAGGATGAATTTGGCAAAAGATTATCATATGAATTAGAAGGGTGACATTGAATTTAGCATTTTGAAAAAGGTAAGAAATACCCTAGTATATCTTAATATAAAAATATATTTAAAATTATGAAAAAAGAGTGTGAAAAGACACAAGTAAAAAAAGTAGTATTTGATCACATTTGGGAAATTCAGAATGTATTTTATCAAATTATAGATGTTCATACTCAAGTCCTACGTAGGCAAGAAATATTGAATAACAACCTTTTTAAATATCGAATAACACTTGACAACCGCTATCATTCAATGAACAAAATAAACTTTTTTTTTTTTTTCATTAATAGGGGATATGAAGTTTTTGTTAAGGGCTATTGTGTCGTTTTACCAGAAGGACGACGTAAGTACAATTAAAATGGTGGCACTATATCAATTTATCAGTTGATAGAATTAAACACCGAAAATTTCTAGCCTAATTATTATATTCCAACAAGTAAAGTGAGGGGCGTTTGGTGCATACCTAATCCTAGTGTTAGAAAATATTAATGAAAATGTAGAGATTAATTATTAGAATTAAATGACCCACTCATTATTATTATTATTAAGTCTATACGAAGTGGCATTAAGGTATGTATGGCATACTTAAGATGACCTATATTAGAAAAATCTATTTGGCTTTAAAATATCAATCTCCTACGTGAATTATATCTGTAACAAAAACCTGCCAAGTTAAACCTACCCCAGTTTCAAAATCAAAACCTAGTTTGAACAAAACCCTGTCTATGTTCTTGTAGATTAACTAAGAAAGTTCAACGTGTATATATAACTTGTTATAAATACACATACATTTTACCCTTTGAACATTAGCTTATAAACACAATTAACTCAAGTTGTTATCTCAAAGTCATCAATCATTTGTAGATGTCAAAATAAATTTATGACTAAACTTTAAAAAACTCAACCAGTTAACTAATGTTTTCTACTGTATATTTATTCACCACCATGGGTACCTAGGAGGTTGTATTGGGAGATGACCAATAGATTGAAGTGGGACAATAGCCATCAATAATTCTATTTCCTTTTCGATATATCTTTGCATATTTGGCATTTGAAAGCGTTTGGTGAACAATAACAATCTGTTAAGTTCTATGATTCTTTTAAAATCAATATTATAGTATACATTTTACAATTATTGACTAGTTCTAAATTTTATAAATTTGTTTAAAATTATTTTCGTTGGATTAGATAAAATCAGACGGTATTTATTTTTTTTTTATATACAACTAGTTTTAACTTAAAATATTTATTCCAAAAAATGGATTTCTAAAATGTAAACTATCATAGGAAACAAGGAACCCACACAATTCATGTAATAGTATAAAGTAACATGTTTTGTTAGTTAGGAAAAGTCAAGGAATCATAGTCGAAGAGATAGAGGACAAGTGATAAGGTCTAGAAAAGCATCTACACTTGACAGTTAGCACACGTCAAAATATTTTGACTTTTTTAACAATTAGGCAAATTCCAAAGAGACGTGGAGCATAGTGAACTAATTATTTAGTTACAAGAAAAAAATTATATATATTAAAGAAATTTAATTGTATAAATTTTCTTAATATTTTTTTTAAAATGTATTTCTTGTAAAATTTAAAACATATTAATATAATGATATAATTAATATTAAAGTATTTTAAGATAGATATCATTAAATAAAAATAAAAATAATTGAATTTAGAATAAAAAATGTAATTTCTTTCTTAAAGATAAGCATTATAGTCTAAGAGAAGGGATACTTGGGGGAATATACACCTTGTTAGGAAAGTTTATATTGGTGGGTCTTCATTTGTTAAATTATACTTTCTTAATTTATTCGATGATATAACATCCTTAACTATTGTAAGTGTTTTCTTTTATATAAAAATGGACTGTTTTCTTTTTATAATTAGTAAATTATTATTAGTTTTTTTATTATTTAAATACCTCTACAATGAAATTCTAACGGTTTTTCCTGAAAAAAAAATTGTAACATTTTCAATCATGTTGAAAAAATGAAAAAAAAATGTCAACTATTGAGTAATTAGTATAATTTATTTTTTAATAATAATTTTAAAAGTTAAATCTACTATTTTAATATAAAACTATGTTGTGACCTTCACTGCTTGGGACAGGTGATGGATTACCTACGGATGCAAAGTCAACCCTTATGCCGTGAAATGAAATTACTCAATTTTTTAATTCAGGTGAAAGGTGTGAAATATGATCATATAATCCAAAATATTTAATTATAAAAAAAATTATACAAAAATTTTATATAAAAAAATGCAGAATTATAATTACACAGTAAAAGATTAATGACAATAGGTACCTTGTAGGCAATTACCAAAATATCCTCTGAGGTTACTATAGGGTCGTAATTCTATATTCTTCACAATATCCGTTTGCAACTTTCAATGCTGGCACTGAAATCAATAAAAAAAATGTTCATAACTCCGCACATTCAAAATTAACAAATAATAAAATAACGATTAAATTTAATAATAACTTATGAAACTAAACTTTATCACTTATGTGCCATGTATTTATTAAGAATAAATTAAACGGTTTTTTATATTTTTTTAAATTATTCACACGTTACTTTTTAAAATATAATTTTTCTTAAGTTACATTTATTTCTTGATTTTTGTTTACAATTATTTGTGTTTTAAAGGGATGTACAATTTAAGTGATGTATTTGTAATATAAAAATTGGAAAATATAATATTTTTAAATATTACCCCCAACTGGATGTACTTGTTATTTATGATTATAAGAAGTTTTTCAGAAAAAAATTTATTAGTTAAGTTAAAAATATTGAGGTGGAATTATTTTCCAAACAAAAGCACTCTTCTAAAATTAAAATTAAAAAAGAGTATATTATTTAAGAAAATATATTAATTGAATTTTGGTATTAATTTTATTCACATATATATAAAATAATTTATTACATACATTTGAATGGGTGCTTTTCTGAATTTAACATAATATTTATGTTTTTAAAATTTATCATAATAAATTTTATAGGTATAAATAAGTAAAATGAGTTATTAAAACAACTAAAAAGTTTGTACACGCCTAAAGAAAGGTATCTAATAAAAAAAAAATTACGAGTGTAATTGAATCCAATTTTGTTAGCCTGAAAGACTGTTTACATAAAAGCAATTCGATAAAAATAAATATTGAACAATTGTTGGGGTGAATTCTCAACATATCTTTTATTTGGAAAAAAAATCTTAATAAAAAATTATTAAAGAAAATAAAGATATAAAATAAAATCATTTTTTGTATATTTTAAAATTAAATAACTATATATATCAATTTGTCCAAAAAATTGGAAAAACAAGTGAGATTAAAAAAAAACGAGAATATTCGATATCATGTACGCTATAATAATAACCATTTCGAAATTTAAAATTTTAATTCATCATATTTTTAAAAATCACTTCAATAAATTAATAAAGATGATATATATATATATATACTCAACCTCACTACTTAAACAATATAAAACGTAAGACATGGATACTTAAACAATATAAAGCGTAATAAAATATTGAAATTCATTGCATCAAAGTCTATACTCTCATTAGATAACACTGTAGGAGATGAAAATATGTAATTATAGATATCTTAAATGAGAGAAAAAGCACAAACAACTGTGCTACAAGATTAATGCATTTCTCCCATTTTGATAGGAAAAAAAAAAAAAAGATAAGGAAAGGAGAAAAGGTAGAAGAAAAATGGTGCATGATGAAGATTAAGAAAGTGAAATAATAGAAAAGTATATGTGTAGGACAAATAAAAGAAAAATATCAGAAATGTTTGGGACCTGTGCCTTTTAGACGGAATTATGGAGCAGGGACAAGAAGAAGTTGATGTGCTTTTCTTAAAAGTGAGAGAGTTCCATGTATATATAGCCATTATTCAACTATAATACATTATAGTTGCACTAATATTAATATAGTAAAATAATAATTTATTTATTATTTAACATAAATCATATTTTATTTCTTAAAATTATTTTTTTTTTACAAATTTGTGCTTCTTTATTAACTGAATTCAGGAAAACAATGTTTAATATTACACGCATCAAATTAAAATCACATTCATATTTAATTATGCATTTAATTATTTATTTAAGTCTCAACTGTGAATTTTTTTCCCTTTGTAGATAACATGTATTATTAATAAGAAACAATTTAAATTGAGTAAGAGAGAAAGCTTTTCTCTCCAACTAGTATTCAGAACTTAAGATTGATACTTTTTCTTTTCAAGAAAAATTAATTGCTGCATTCAAATGGTTGTGAAATGTCTTAAAAAGAAAAAGGAGTTACTATTTTTTTATCATTAATTAATTAGAGAAAATTCAATTTTTATTTAATATCTTTAATTAATAATATTATTTTAATTAATGTTAAACAAACGAAACATTTAAACATTTATCACTAGTTGTAACAGCCAAAACAATTTACCTTTTACCTAATTAAACATATAACATATTTTAAATTTACACGTAAAGAAAACTAAAATTAATATTTTATAATTTAAATTCTTAAAATTTTTATTATATATTTTTGAATAATTAGATAATCGTCATAATTTATAACAAACATCACACAATACTTATAAATAAACTAATTTATAAATAAAACCATAACAGTTAAAAACATAATAATTTTAAATAAGTTTATATCATAATTAACACTATAAATTTCTCGTGCTTTAAAAATGTTACGTATATTTTAATTATATAATTTTAATTAGACTATTCATAAATATTATATCATCTTATTTTTAAGGCATTATTTCACTCCCTTTAACAATACATATTTTGTTACTACATTCACTTATCAAACATTTTGGAAGACTCAATTTTGTGTTTCTAAATACATACACCATATAAGTCTCATAAAAAAAAATTAGGGGTAAAAGTGACAGGTCGAGTAAGCTAAATATGAGAGTTTAATCTGATTAATTTTATAATTTATTTTATAAGGAGCTTAAAATTTCACAACTCAATTTAATATATTATAAGTTAGTAGGTTGTCTCATTGACTGATATTTATTTATTTATTTTTAATAAACATAACTAAATCATAGATTAAAACACAATGACGCGGTAGCATGACAAACACTATAGTGCAACTGTAACACAGTAATAAGGTGACGTGATGAATGTAATACTCGATAAAAGTTATAATGCAACTGAAACATAAAATTGAAGCGTTATGACATAGTCACACGTCAAACACTCTATGACATAATTGAAATACAAGACTAAAACACGATAAATGTTATGACCCGATTGAAACGTGATGGTGCTCAACGAATATGGTGGTGTAGTAGTGTGATATGCGAATGACAAACAACCTAGATGCAACGAGGAACGCAGTGCTAAAACTAACAATTAATAATAAGTTCGAGTGAGAGTTTAACTAGTGTTGACATGAAATAGAGGTAAATTAAAAGATAAGATCAATTAAAATTACTAAATTATTAAAATTATTTTTAAAATTTAAAATGATTGATGGATTATAGGCTAATTAAAAATTGTAAATATTATCGTAAGTTATAAAACTTAAGTTGATATAATCTCCTTGTTTCCAACAAGATATCAATGAGTGGATGATAAGGTTATATATATATATATATATATATATATATATATATATATATATATATATATATATATATATATATATATATATAAAATGGATGCGAGATTTTCTATTAAAAAAAATATTTTAAAAAGTGTGCCGTAGTTTTAAATTTTTTATTGATGTCGAATTTAATTTTTAACTTTTTTCAATTAAAATTTTCTCTTTAATTTGAAATTACTTATATGCTGAAAATAAGTTATTACTCTTTATTTTTCTTTTTTAAATATTAAATTATTTTCTTGAGTATAATTAATTGTTTATATTTATTATTTTTTAATCTCAAATTTTAAACAATGATATCTTAACTTAATTATGTATTTAATTTACAATTTAAATATTTTTATTTAATATAAATTTAAGTTAAATTATATAATTCATATGATATATTAATATATTAATAACTTCTTATGTATATTTGAGTGGACTCAAGTGGTTAAATGATTCAAAATGAACTCTTATCATTCGAATTTGGTATTGCTTAGCAAAGAGTAAAAGATTGATTTTTAATAAATATTTATTAATTTAATTATGAAAATATGAACAAATGCTTGACAATTCGAATCAAGAATGTAATACGTCCACAATTAAAAAATAAAATAAACAACAAGGGATAATTAAATAATACATCATGAAATATTGAAACAAATCACATAGAAATGTCTCACTTGTAGATTTCGCAATGAACAAGTTTCTTTTTACAAACTTTAAAAAGAAGTTAAAATTAATTTTTCGTAAGTTAAAATTAACTCAATGTCACACTCAGAAAATTACAAATTACAAAGTAATATTAGAAGGTAAAAAATAATAATAAATAAATATTTCTATTGAATAAAATGCTGACTTTATTAATTCCTCTATCAGTTACTACTTTCTAGCAAAAACTGTCTTTAGTGCAAGCCTTTGTGAGGGGAGACAGATGCAATGCATAGAGTCATATGTATGCGTAATTATAGTCCACAAGTACAAGTTCTAGGCACAATCAAGTACCTTCAATTTAAGGACTTTCTAAGCGAATATAATCATACATAACTCCTTCAAGTGAACTTTTGGCAAATGACTGTGTCAAATAGATGATGTTTATTCCTTTTCTCAAATGATTACTATCGACGACAACAGTATACAAGCTATACAATCCATGGATGCCGTGTCTTGCTATGGCATTGTCATCGCCCACTAGCCCTGTGGAGAAATGGGGACGCTTTGCATTCGGGTTGTTGAACCTAACCTGATCACCCATCTCAGAAAATGTTAGCCACCATAGCCATAGCAGAAGAAAAAAAAGAAAGAAGATCAATTAAGAAATTATGTGCTGTCTACATTCAATCTAGAATAAGTGGCAGCCGCAAGGGCCAATTGCAGTGTGTAGTTTCCTCGCATTATGATATTTCGAAGCTGGAAATGAATCTGCCATGTGGTTGGCACAAATCTCTTTCTTGCTGAGGGCCTGCATACATCAGTAATTTAGAGAAAACTCATAATGGCATGTTTAGAAAATTCTATACGTTAAACAAAATTTACCTGGTAACTTGAGCATAAAACCAATCCTTATGATAGTCAGAAACACCAACTGTATAAATGAGATCAGATTTTGGATACAACTCATTGTAACGTGCCCACAAGCCATATTGCCTAAACCTGTCACAGTAAAAATACTTTGAGAAAATGAAAAAGAGGGTGCGTATAATAGAAAGTTAACATTCATAATTGACAATGGTAACTTGTCTGGGCCAAGGTTCGTGTATAATTTGTTCCGGAGCTCGGGGTTAGGGTCTGGTACATAGAATTCCGCAGCTGAGCGATCAGGGATCCCAATTTCCCATAGTGTCGGACCATTTCTTGGAGGATTATATACAAGTGAGTCCAAGTTGATGTTTCCCCCTGCAAGTGGTAAATAATTTGGGTATTTGCTAACTATCTCAAAAGTTTAATTTGTTAGGTGAAACCTCACAAATGGTTTTATATTCAAACAATTTAAGCTTGAAGGGTTATTGCACATCGTCTCGAGGTTAGCATTAGAGGGATTTCTACCAAGATAATTTGATGCTGGGGGAGTGCAGTTAGCAAATGCAAGGTGTTCTTGGAGTGTGAGATTGCAAATACAATATGGACTATTGATCATAAATGGATCGGTATCTATACGTGTAAGCCATAAGGCATTAACGAGCATATGCAACATCATTCTCTGTTGTCACTGATTCAGAAAAGTAACAACAGTTAGACGATTATGTGGGTAACTGTGCTGAGTTCTATTTGGAATCAAAGAAATAGATTCCTTTTCTGTAATGAAAGAATAGATGCAGAGAAAACCTCTACAGTTGGCTCAGCTAATGGCATGGTCCTGCGTCACTAATACAGTGCTAAAAGCTTGTTTCACAAATAATATATTCTGATTGGTGTATTAATGGTTTATCTTGTATGCAATATCCTCTTAGTCTTAATTCTGATGCTGAGTGTGTGATGAGAAACTAGCATAGAGGGAGGTAGTTTTAATTATTGAAGGCTTGACAGAGGTGATAGGTACAACAAATCATACAAGAAGTGGGAGAAAAGTAGGGCTGTCATGATATACGGGGAAGAGCAGTTTACTTATATATAATATGAGGGATAGGGATGACAGAGGAGTTAAGTTCTGTTTAGAAGTTGAGTGGTGTAGGAGGGATGAAGTTTGGAGAGGTATTATCAGATCTAAGTCGGTGCAACAGAGGTTAACTCAGAAATACATAGATGATAGTTGTTCAGATTTTTTTGGCTTATATAACAGGTTTTTTCTCTATATGGCTTTATGAACATAAGATACTTCTTAAGTGGATGGTTTGGTGACTAGCCGTGTTATGCGAGTAGGCAGATTCTTTCTTAAGATGTTGGTTACAAATAAATTAGTAGTTTGCCTAAGTAACTAGTGTCTAACTTTGTTTGCGGTGCTTTGCTTTGTAGGTTGGTTTTCTGCACTGAAACCGTGATGTTGTAGTTCATTGTAGTTAAGTTTATGCTGTTAGGGCTAAGCTCTGTAAAATTGTAACGGAGGAGTTTTAGTGTCTTTTGTACATCTTGTACCTTTTAATGATATTTCTTCTCTTTCCCGATAAAAGAAATGCACAAGTTTTTAGTACGTTGTACAAATATATTGAACTTTTTATTTGAATGAATGAGGACTATAAAAAGGGAACTAATGACTTTTTAGACATAAAGTTCAATGTCATGCAATGAATCAATTAATCCAGAAAGATAAAAGCATATAAACTATTCTATATTTAACATAAATGAGCGATGAAGATATTTTACCTGGTTTGATGGAAATCTTAGTTGGATATATATAATCTCCAATAAAGCCAGGAACCCATGCATACAAGTTGTAACCCCCAGGTACAATATTTTTAATGAAGAAGTGTCCATCTCTGTCAGATTGAGTCCAGAATTGATAACCCTGTGAATTGCATATAATTCAAACTCTTAATGCGTCACGAGCTAGCCCTTAAGATCAAAGGATTAAATCTCATTCGCTCCAACTCCAATTGTACCTTGCATTCTTTCTGCCATGATCCTGCATCTCCAGGCAAAGCTAGTCCAACGTAAGCATTGTGAGCAGGTTGAGCTTTACATACCCTGTAAAGTAAGGAATTAAGACTGTCCTCGTATGCTAGTCATTATGTAACCAAAAAGAATAAAAATGTAGCTACGGAAGGCGTTGGCTTATACCCATCTTGGACAAGTAGTCGTCCTGACACTGTTCCGCGTTGATTGAGTGGAAGGAAATCTTTTGATCCAACGAAATCATAAGGCCATCTTCTGACTTCATTGGATAACTATAATTGATCAAAGAACAATAATATATTGTGTTGTTGTTAGTATTATGGTGCTTGATTTAGTCCCACATCGATTAGGATTGTGAGATGAGATTCTCTATTTTGTTATATAAGCAACCCTATGTAAAGTTTGAGATACACACAGAAATAAAAATACTTCCTAGTGTAGTCGTGGACGTAGGCATACATATTTTAGCCGAACCACGTTAAAATTTTTGTGTCGTTTATTTTTTCTCTCCTTTATTCTTTCCTTTATTATTGTCTTGTTCCTAACAATTGGTATCAAGAGCCAATTTTCTTAGTATGCTCTGTGGTTGCAGCTTTGTCTGATCTTCCACATCAGAAAAGATTTGGTCTTTTTTCTTGGGAATCTCAGTTTAGAGAAGCAGTGGGAGCTTTCTTCGAAAGCGAGTGAGAGCAATGGCATTGGAAGAAGGAAAGGTGAGGATCGAGAAGTTCGATGGCGGTGACTTCGGGTTCTGGAAGATGCGAGATGGAAGATTATCCGTATCGGAAGAAGTTGTATCTACCCTTGACGAGGCGAAGCCAACCGACATGGAGCGATCAGAATGGGAGTTGTTAGATCGGCAGACGCTTGGTGTGATCCGGTTGACATTAGCTAAGAATGTTGCGTTCAACATCATGAACGAAAAGACAACCGTAGATTTGATGCGAGCGTTGTCAAATATGTATGAGAAGCCCTCTGCAGCCAATAAAGTGCATTTGATTCGCAGGCTAGTCAACCTCAAAATGGGTGAAGGTAACTCGGTTACTAATCATATTAGTGAATTTAATGCAATTATTGCGCAGTTGACATCGATGCAGATAATATTTGATGATGAGGTGAAAGCATTAATTTTATTATCATCTCTACCGGAAAGTTGGGGTGCAACTCATGCTATCGAGTAAGTAATTACGCAAGCAATAACAAGTTGAAGCTTGATAACATCCGTGACTTGATCTTAAGCGAAGATGTTCGCAGGAAAAATTCGATAGAATCTTTCGGTTCTAATTCAGAGTTCAGCATTGAGTACCTGAAACTAGAGGAAGAAGTCGCGTAAAGGTCGAGGCAGATCAAAATCCAGAGGGAGATCACAAGCAAAAGTCCGGAATGATATCACTTGTTGGAATTGTCGAAAAAGGGTCACTTTTCAAATCGGTGTAGGGCTCCAAAGAAGGACAACAACAACAACAAGAAGCAAGATGATGATCAATCGAGCAAATGCAACGAATCGATGAAGTTGAAGATGCACTCGTTATGTAGTTTAGATAATTCTATTGACTCATGGATTATGGACTCGGGTGTGTCATTTCATACTACACCTTCCTTAGAACTATTATCTAACTATGTTTCTGGAAAGTTTGGGAAGGTCTACCTTGCAGATGGAAAATCTCTTGATATCATAGGAAGAGGTGATATTAACATCGGAACCTCTAATGGAAACGTGTGGACTTTGAATAATGTCGGACATATTCCAACCCTAAAGAGAAACTTAATATCTATAGGGCAGTTGGATGATGAGGGACATTACACCACTTTTGGAGATGGACATTGGAAGGTAATGAAAGGTAATCTTGTTGTTGCTCGTGGAAAGAAGCAAGGATCTCTCTACATGATTGCAGATGAGGATATGATATCGATTGCAGAAGTTGGCAACAATTCCTCCTTATGGCATCAGAGGCTTGGGCATATGAGTGAGAAAGGAATGAAGCTCATGATATCAAAAGGTAAAATACCTAACGTGAAGCATGTTGACGTTGGACCTTGCGAACATTGTATCTTTGGAAAGCGAGAAAAAGGTTAGCTTCTCCAAAACAAGTAAGTCGTCTAAAGTTGAAAGACTAGAACTAGTGCATACGAGATGTTTGGGGGCCGGCTTCGGTGAAATCCCTTGGAGGTTCACAATATTATGTAACCTTCATTGATGACTCTACAAGAAAGGTATGGGTTTATTTTCTTAAAAATAAATCGATGTGTTTTCTGTGTTTAAAAGGTGGAAAAAGGAGGTTGAGACTCAAACGGGTTTAAAGGTCAAATGTTTGAAGTCCGATAATGGTGGAGAATATGACGGTAGTCAATTCAAGGAGTTTTGTTCGAGAGAATGGGATCGGAATGATCAAGACAGTTCCAGGAACACCGAGAACAAAACGGTGTGGCGAAAGAATGAACGAGAACCTTGAATGAGAGAGCAAGATGTATGAGAATCCAGTCGGGATTACCCAAGGTATTTTGGGCGGATGCAATAAGCACGACGACCTATCTCATAAACGAGAGGACCATCGGTTCCTTTAGACTATAAGTTACACGAAGAAGTATGGTCTGGAAAAGAGGTAAATCTTTCACATCCGAAAGTTTTTGGTTGTGCTTCATATGTTATGTTAGACTCTAATAGTAGAGATAAATTGGACCCTAAGGCAAAACGTTGTTATTTCATTGGTTATGGATCTGACATGTTTGGCTACGGGTTTTGGGATGACCAAAACAAGAAAATTATCGAAGTAGAAATGTTACTTTTAATGAAAACATGTTCTATAGAGACAGGATTGCAGAATCTGCAAATGTAAATAAACGACTAGAGCAAGTATCATTAGAAGAAATTTCGAGAAAGTGATGTAGTCAACCGAAGGCGGAATATACAAGTAGAGCCTATGTCGAGCTCGAGACGAAACTGAACAAATAGTAGAGTCGGCAACTCCTGAAATCTTGGTTAGAAGATCTAGCAGAACAATTGTAGCACCACAAAGGTATTCCCCTTCATTGCATTATTTGTTGTTGACTCGATCGTTGGTGAGCCGGAGCATTTTGTTGAGGCTATGCGGGGAGATGAATCTATTAAGTGGGAGCTAGCAATGGAAGATGAGATAAAGTCCCTTCGGAAGAATAAAACATGGTCTTTAACCAAGCTACCGGAAGGAAAGAAAGTTTTGCAAAACAGGTGGGTCTATAGGTTGAAAGAAGAACCGGATGGCGACAAAAGATATAAGGCAAGACTCGTAGTGAAAGGGTTCCAACAAAGACAAGGAATTGACTTCACGAAATTTTCTCTCCTGTTGTCAAGATGACTACCATCGAGTTATCTTGAGTATAGTAAGCTACGAGAAAATCTTCATTTGGAGCGGTTAGATGTCAAAACTGCATTCTTACATGGGGATCTTGAAGAGGAAATTTTTATGACACGACCAAAAGGTTTTGAAGTACAAGGCGGAGAAAATCTTGTATGCAAGCTTCATAAAAGTTTGTACGGATTAAAACAAGCGCCGAGACAATGGTACAAGAAGTTTAATGAGTTTATGGGAAACTCAGGATTTCGCAGATGTGAAGAAGATCATTGTTGTTATGTGAAGAAATATGTTGATAGTTATATCATTCTTGCCTTATATGTTGACGACATGTTGATTGTTGGAGCTAATATGGCAGAAATTGACAAGTTGAAGAAACAATTGTCAGAGAGCTTTGAAATGAAGGATCTTGGTCCAGCCAAGCAAATTCTTGGTATGAGAATCTCCCGAGATAGAGATAAAGGTATTTTGAACATATCTCAAGAAAAATATATAGAAAAATTGCTTAGCAGATTCAATGTTGGGAATGCTAAAACCAGGAATACACCTTTGGGAACTCACTTAAAGTTTTCAAAGAGGCAATCTTCTCAAACAGAAGAAGAAGAAAGTCACATGTCTAAAGTGCCATATGCATCTGCAGTAGGAAGCTTGATGTATGCTATGGTTTGCACCGGACCGGACATAGCACATGCGAGTGGGAGTTGTGAGCGATTTCTATCAAATCCGGAAAGGAGCATTGGGAAGGAGTGAAGTGGATATTCGAGATATTTGAAAGGCACTTCAAAGATGCATTTGTCTTTCAAGAGAAGTAATCTCATTTTACGGGGGTTTTCGATGCGGACTTGGGAGGTGATCTTGACGGTAGAAAGAGCACAACGGGTTATATTTTTACATTGGGTGGTACAGCTATCGGTTGGAAGTCTAAACTTCAAGGAAGGGTCTCTCTCTCAACCACGAAGCGAGTATGTAGCTATCTCGGAAGCGGCGAAGGAGATGATATGGTTGAAGAACCTTCAAAAGAATTAGGAAGAGAACAAGATGGTTCTCCGTTGTTTAGTGACGATCAAAGTGTTATTTGTCTTGCTAAAAATCCAATCCTTCATTCCGGATGTAAGCACATTGAATTGAAGTATCATTTTATCGAAACACGATAAATGATGGAGACTTGAGTTTGTTGAAGATTCCAGGTGCGAGAGAATCCGCTGATATGTTGACCAAGGCTGTTACAACAACTAAGTTGAGGCTTTGCATTGCCTCAGCTGGCCTTCGAGCAAATTGATGATGAAGGCACTACACTAGGTGGTAACGTAAATCAAACTCCAAGTGGGAGAATTGTTAGTATTATGGTGCTTGATTTAGTCCCACATCGATTAGGATTGTGAGATGAGATTCTCTATTTTGTTATATAAGCAACCTTATGTAAAGTTTGAGATACACACAGAAATAAAAATACTTCCTAGTGTAGTCGTGGACGTAGGCATACATATTTTAGCCGAACCACGTTAAAATTCTTGTGTCGTTTATTTTTTCTCTCCTTTATTCTTTCCTTTATTATTGTCTTGTTCCTAACAGTTGTAATATTCATTTCACTTAAATAATGACAAGATAGTGTGGTTAAGGGTAATAATATAGGCACCTGCTTTACAGCATCTGACCACAGAGACCGAAACTGAGCTTTGTTTGGAGCAGAGTTAAGATAAACAAAAGTGGGGCCAAGAACTTTTTTGTAAGTCTCCCCTTCACCAAAATTCATGGTTACATCTTTGCCACCATAGTGAGGGCTCGTGAACATCTAAACATGAAAATAAGGTTGTGAAAAATATCTCAAGTGAGAGGATTAGAAAATCTAATTATAGTAATTGAGAAAAATGGTATTGTAAGGTTGGATGTAGAACTTACGGAAAGAGTAGTTGGACCAACATGAGAGGTCAAGTCTTGCTTAATAGGCCCAGCACTGCGGAACTCATTACTTGGTGTTATCACCCAAAAACCTTCTGGTTCATCCTTCGCAATCCAACCATGCACACAGCTATCTTTGTACTCACTTGAGTATTGGTATTTGTCATCTACCTATGTCCAACAAGCACAGTTCCGTATCATAAACATTGCTATAACCAGCCATAATAACCAAAATTATAGATAAGCTTATCGAAAGAATGCTAAGGTTACCAGAGTTACCTCTCCCTTAAATTGTAAGTCAGGTGGATGGGATAAGAGAACAGCTTCAGGATATTCCAAGGGTTGACCCGTGTCTCTATCTCTCTGAGAAGGCATGTTCCTTTGCCTTGCATCGGATATGGCCATGTACTTAAACCTAGATCATTGGTTGTTTACTAGTAAAGCATACGTTTTTCCACTTTAAAATGATAACCTCAAACTGAAATCTATTTTTAAAGAACGCCAATTCAATGGTTTTGTTCGAAATTGTAATCTAATCACAACTTATTGTTAACATGATTTCTAATGTAATCATTGTCAAAATAATAAATTTATTTTAAAATAAATTTCCTACAAAAATTATATATATATATATATATATATATATATATATATATATATATTTTATTAGGTATTTCTGAATGAGTTAAGATGTTAGGTTCTTAGTATTTCTTAGAATGAGAGTCGTGGGAAGAATAAGAATATTCTGATATCAATCTTATGTATTTTTAAGAGACTAATAATAAGAAGATTATTACAAAATAGATCATGAATGAATTCTTTTATCATATAAAAGAATATGACACCACCTTCAATAAAAAATGTTAAGACATTAGATTATGAGTATTTCTCACTCAACTTTTTTATTTTTATTCAACATGAGACTTCAAACTTACACTTGAATTTTTTATCATAATTTTTTTTTTCATTTTAGTCATTTAATTAATCACAAATAGTATGTTTGTTGAATTTTATAATAAATAATTTTAAAATCACAATAAATATATTTTTAATAATTAATAATGAAACAATTACCCCTATATATGTCTGTTAAAGTCAATAAAAAAATATATTAGAGAAAAAATACGCATACAGTCTAATACAATTCTAATAATTTAAATTTTTAAGTAGTATCACTATGCAGTAACTCTTATTCTAGCTATTTCATCCCAATTCATTCAAATTATTGTTTCCTGTTGTTCCATAATTTTTCATCCATCTAGTCAATGATTTTTTTTTTCTCCAAAGCAAAGGATTATATTTTATTTTTTATTTTTTTCTCAAAGCTAGTACCATTTTTCCAGTTACCTGGCTTTGTTGAGTTTGAAAACAGTCCTAATTTGATAAACCTCCGCCGCAGGTAATCGTGGTGATCTGTCAAATATTGCGTATGAATAAAACCCGGATTCGCCTCTTCGCAAAATATACCTGCGCCAAATATCAAACGATGTCAGTGAGATACTTGTGCATTTGTTTTCAAACTTGAGGAAAAATCAATGTTTGCAATCCACCTCTGGTCTATGTTTATGGGCACACTTGAGCCTTTCATGGAAGCTGTCCATTTTCTTGAAAATGAAACCTCCACTATATTCTCGTTTGCTACAATGACCGAGAAATTTTTCCCATCGACTCTGCGGTACAGTTTCAAACCTAAATTTATTTCTTCAATATCGCTCAGTGCAAAAAGAATGCATTATTTACTGGCGTTGTAATCTAACACAGTAAATGTAATAAAAATAGACAGCAATAGAAAGAAGATTCGAATGAAGAGGAAACAGAAACATGAACGAATGTTAAGATAATTCAAATTAATAGATGTACCTCTGAAACTTCCCAGCTTTTCCTTTTTTGTTCCAAACAACGTCCAAGTAACTAAAAAAGTGAAAGCCAACACGGGACTTTTGCAGATCAAAATTTGATGCCATGTTAATATTCTTCATTACTATTTTGAAGAAAATCGTAATTTAATGTAATTGTTCAATTGGTAAGTGATAGGTTATACACACCCTCTATCCTTTTCTTTATTTTTAGGGTCAAGTACATTGTTAATTCCAGTATATATTCCAGTGATATATCCCTTGGGCTTTGACAAATTGAAGGATACCATGCCGTTGCCAATCACCACCTGAAAATCAAGTAGAGACTTATAACTAGAGTGGACAAAATGACTCAAACATGAAATAAACTATAAGACCTATCTTGAATTGAAAATAGACTTCCTTTGAACCAAACTGAGAATAGTTTTAATATTAATTAGGTTAAGCTCATAGTATTTGAACGAATTTTATCATTAAAAAGAAAAAAAAAAAAAACTTGTATCACCTGCTGAGGATTTTCTGTAAGCTTGACTGCAGGAGGAGGAGGAGGAGGCCTCGGTGCAAGGTTGCTGATAATGGCTGAATGTCTTTTACAAGGAAAATAAGAGAGTTTTTGAAGAAAAAAAAAACATAAGATCAACGTGTGACGTTGTCATTTGACAATGTTCAAAATAAAATCGAAAAAATAAAAATGGACACCATGATAGTACAGCTTGAGGCTGAATGCATAGTTGCGCAATATTTCTCTACAATTGTTAGATGAAAAATTAGAATTTAATCAGTTATGTAAAGAAAAATAAATTGTATATAGAAGAGGAAACTAAATATGAATACCAGATTCATGTGGCTGGTCTAGGAAGATAATGAAAATATATTTAGCTGATTGGTTTTCATCTTTTAATGGGGAAAGAGATGAGAAAAAAAATGGAGCTCTCTCACTTATGAAAGAAGTTTGAGATAAATATATTTTGGTCTTTGAATTTTTTTTAAAATTAATTAATTAATTCAATCATCTATTTTTAAAAAAATATATATTAACTTTTTTATATTTAAAATGAATGTTTAATTAGTGATATTTTTTTGTAATTTAAAAAAGTAAACTAACTAAATTCAGAATAATATTTAATTTCAATAATTCTTCATATGTAAATTTAATATTAATAATAAACTTTTATCATTAAAAAATTAATAAAAGGACTATTTAAAAAATGAAAGTTAATTAATTTTTAAAATTTTTTAAATCAAAACTAAATTTCATGAAAAATATAAAGATAAAAACATTTAATCCGAAAATTTTCGTAAATATTAAAAATTTGAAGTGGAGATGTTGTGTTAAGGATATTTTTATTGAAAGAAATGCTTGTTATGTCTGTGATATATCTATATTCAATTAAATATTAGAGAGCATATTTCTTTCGTCTTTGTCTCTATTTTTTATAAAAACTATAAATTGTATAAAGTTGAGGTTTTTTTTTGTCACTTTTAAATCGAAACAAAGTAAGGTAAATAATAAATATTACTATTTATTTCATCGTGAAACTTTTTCTGTAAATTTTTGTGTGGATTTTAAAAAATTCAGATAAAAAACTATATATAAACTTATTTTATGCAATTTTTTTATAAAAATTAAAAAAAAAGGTAGGAAGCATGAAATATGAAAATTATGATATTAAAATACCTAACCATTTATAGTTAAATAATATTACCTCTATCATCAATTTATAAGAAAAAAAATGTAAATTCAAATGTATTAATAAAATCAGTTAATTATATTAAATTTTAAATGAAGAAAAATTAATTCATTTATATTTTAATAAATATAAATCACCCACTCTTCCTCAAAGATATATGTGCGTACAAAAAGTTATATCATAGGAGGAAAAGCAAAAAATAAATAAAATCAATAATATATATATTTATAATTAAATAATTTATTTTTCAAATCTTATTCTTACTGTTTATATTTAACAATTTTTTCAAAATTAGCTGACAAGATATATGCACGATAAATTGTGCAACAAATTAAACAATACAGGAAATAAAATAAACAAAAGTATAAAATATAATAAATGATGATTGAAAAAACATTCAAATTGATAGCTAGATCTACTAAAAAAATGGCAGCATTAAATGGAAGAATCAAGATCACTTAAGAAAGTGATGATTTATATATGTATTAGGAGGAGTGAAAAATATTCTGTCTTGTCACATATTTTCAGTTTCTTAATTATTTCTCACACATTATATTACGTACTAACATATTTGTTCCTTGCCAAATTTGATAAGTCTCATACTAGGTTTTGTTGAAATCTCTTTTTTTTTTCTCTCTTCTTCTCTCTGTTTATATATATAAAAATGAAAAAAAAAAAAAAAAAACATGTTTTCCTTCTTAATATATACATTTTCTCACCTCATGCTTGATTTCCTTTTCAATTCCTGGGAGCGCTGTTACAGTTTTAGTTGTGGTTACATTTGTAATTGTGGTTGCAGTTACAAACATAATAACAGTTATTAAGCATTTTAATTTTCTATTTTCACTTCGGCTAATAATTGGTTAAAAATCCAAACAATAATTAGACAACCCGTTATTTTGTTTGAGAGTCTAGGGTTCATGTTTGGGGTATTTCTTTTAACACCAGTGTTCACATTCTTAACTTTCCCAATGTAGCTACTTTTGTGAATGTGGTCAAATGTGTGTTATTAATCTCATTGTAACTACTTTGTGAATGTATTGTGACATTTTGTGTAATTTAAATTTACACCATAACTGCATAATGTAATGGTTATAGGTTGCTGACAACAGCAGTTAATTTAAAACTAATACTGATAAGCAAAATAAAAAAAGCATTGGTATGAAACTAAACTGAAAAGCACTACACAGAAAAGGAAAAAGGAAGAAAAACAGAAGCAATTTCAAGAGAAGGGAGAACCTAAATGAGACTCACTCAGAACAGGCACCAAGAAAGAGTAAGATGAGCTGCAAAGCCACTCTAAACCAGCAGTGGATGAAAAGCCGTTTCCTCAACTGATATGCCAACTTCATCTTTTACCAATATATATGATCAGCCTGCAAATATCTTAAAGCTTCATATATCAGCAAATTATTATGGATCCAATGTATTTGTTAATACTCCTAGCTACTGCTCAATAAACATCTTTAGCTTCTGTATGTGTGCATCTTGTCATCTAAAAAGAAAGAAAGAAAGAGATCACAGAATACTATATACGGACCCAGTGCCTGTTGGGAGGACTAATGGAACACGGTTTGGAACGCAAGATGAAGTTCATATGCTTTTCTGAAAATTGAGAATCTCATATATAGAGACATTCTTCAACTATAATACTAAATAGTAATTATGGTAAACAGATTCATTCAAATATTAGCTAATTTAGTAAAATATTTATTATTGATTCTTCTATACATATATATAAGTTGGAAATTGATATAGTTCTTAATTATATCTTACCGTGAAATCACAAAAATTCAAAGTAGACTGTTATATTAATTAATTATACGGATCTCAACATAATATGTCCATTTTCAGAAAGATTTTGTCTAAAATAAATTTAACATTTTATTCACCTTAATTATCACCTTAACTTGACAATGAGTAGACAATAGCAAAAAGATGGAAAAAAAGAAGGAAAAATGTCCATTTGAATAACTTGTAACATCCATTAAATTATTTTATTGTGTATTGTTAATCATATTGCAAATCACGACAAAGAAACCACAATTTAACTGATTTGTTTGAATGTATATTTCATTAATTGTAAAGTTAAAACAAGGATGCTTTCAATTAATAAAAAAATCGGTATAAATGTCAAAGTTTAAATATTAATAAAATTATATAAATGCATACTCCATTGTTGGTATGGAAAGTGCAAAATGGAAGCCAACAATGTAAGAAAATGAGTAAAAAAGTAACGATTTGTTTTATTTAATAATAAAGAAAGTGACAGAAAAAAAATTGTCTTCTTTTCACTGCAATGGATATATTTATTTTTTTTCTTATGTGAAAATGGATGAAAAGTATATTAGAGACATTATTTTACACAATTATTCTTTCATTAATAAATATTTTAACAACTGAACATAGATAATTTTATAATTATATAAATATTAAATTTTAATTATATAATATTTTCATTCACTTTCCTGACATTTGTAACTCAAACATAAATACTTTTCACTTTATTTCATTTTTTTTCTGATATTTTTTCTTTGTTCATATAGGAGCCTTAAAGAAAGAGACAAAAGAAACATAATGAATTGAATAACCTACTTGAATAGAGAGGTAAAAAAATAAAAATTAAACAAGTAAAACAAAATATTACAATTCATAATTTTTCAAACCTTTTTTTTTAATTGTGTGCGGTAAAGTCAATATTGAAGCACTTGAATCCTCTCTATATTACTAGAGATAATTTGTTTTAGAAAAATATTCAGTGTACGCTCTAAAAAGAAAGACTAAAATAAATATTATTAATGTTTTACTTCATTTTGATTCAATGACTGGTAATTTGAGTAATGCATAAGGTTATCTAAGTTGTTGACCTAAAAAAATGTCAGAAATACATAAGAATTGTTATTAATTATATAAATTGATGACCTTTTCTTAAAACTAAAATCTAAAGTAAACAAAAATTTGAAAGTCAACACAATAACATGCATATGGTAATATTCTCAAAGATAATAAAAAAGAGACAATCAAAGAAAGTTCAGTGGCAAAGAAGTTTTTATACTAAATCTATCAAGTTGTTTTTATTTTATTTTAAAACTCGTATTTTAAATTTAATTTTAAAATAACTTTGAAACTAAAATGTAATTCAAACATAAATATCTCAGGGATTAAGATAAAAAAATTTCTTAAAAGCAATTAAGATACAATTAAAAAATATGTAGAGAAATTTGTACAAATCCTATTTAATTAATTTTATTTTATGCAATAGTAATACATACCAATTACAGCTCCAATTATCTCGCTATATATAACATTGAATAATTTATTTAATAAATACTTAAAGGAGAAGCAAATAATATATATATATATATATTATTCTTTACGAAGTACAGAAAATAAAACATGAAAGCAAAATTATTTAAACTTTTATATATAAATTGAAAACTGTTTTATGCATACCATATTTAAATTTTTTATAAATTATTCATTAACTTTAGTTTATATAGAACAATCAATCTTAATATATTTTCCACTCCTATGTTTCATTTCTAAAGACCAAAAACACTTGTTTTCATCAACAATTTTAACTGAAGCTTGAATTAAAACTCCATGAAAGAATCTGATGCACCTCAACCAGGTGTCCGGTGGCACCAGAGAAGCCAACGCTAACCCATTCGGGAAGAACAGTCCTTAAATCAACCACAAACGAGATGCTGCTGGAAGAAACATTTTTTAGACTCTCCTGGCTATGAGGGTAACTGAATACAGTTAATTTTTTTTTGACAGGTTCATAACTCACAGTGGCATACGTTGTTATAAATTTCTCGAAATTTCCATTCTGCCAGGGTACAGTTTTGGTTGAAGCAATGGAGTTTATGTCAATACCTATATGTGCAGATGCAGGATCCCATTTATTCCCAAAGGAGTCAAACTCAACAGCCACTATTTGGTTTTTTAACGCGTTGAAAGCTGAATCGGCACTGAAGAGTCCAAGGAATCCACCACTTGAGTCATGGGGCATGTCAGAGTGGAAAGGTGCAATGAAAAAAGAGAGTCCATCGCCAAAAGGTCCTGCACCAGTTGGTGTCACCACAAAAGAGAAGGTGGTGGTGAACCCTGCAAGTTCTCCTCTTTTGGCATCCCAAAGGCGCAGTGGTGCAGCATAAGAGGCTCTTCCGGCACTGGTGGGAAGGGCACTACCGTTTATAGTATTTGTAAGCTGTAGAACACCGTTTGATGCAAAGGCATCGCCTTGGAAGGTGATGTCCTTTGTGTCTGAACCAAAACTGGGGAAATTGAAAAAAGCTGAATTCACATTAGCCAAAGTCATGAAGAAGGAAATGAAGGTTACGTGAAGAGGGAGAATGTTTATATGCTTTGAGGTGTTGATTGCCATGGATTTAAACTTTTTAGTTAGCATGATATGATATGGTGCAGTGTTTGCCTATATAAACAACTCTAAGAGCTTATGCTGGATAAGAGGTTGGGAAAAGCTGGTAGCCAAGAAACTATGGTGAAGACTTACAGAATGCGTCGATTAGAAGGTGTATGGTGAAGGGAGGGTGATTGAAACGATGAAATTTTGGATTTGCATATAAGTTGGGATTATTTAATTGGACGGCAAAAGAAAGAAAACCAGTTACACGATAAAATTAAATTTAATTAGCTTTCTAAAATTTAGAATCGGCCTCCAATAGTACACCGATCAACTCTACATTCTGACTACAAAATTTAAAAGTAAATGAAATATGTTTTTGTTAATATGACTAACTCATAAATTTTAAAATTTATTTATTTTTTATTATCAGAGACAATCTAGTTGACACTGACTCGTAAATTTAACTTTAATTAAGTATAAAGTGATTAAACGGCGCGCTAAATTTTCACTACTGGAAGACTTATTAACATTGCTCAGTCACATTTTTTACTCACTTCCCAAAATTTGAGTACTTTTGTCCTTTAAGAATTGTGCTACATAAATCAAAATAAATATTATTAATTTTTTTATGAATTTATAAAGTGTTTATCAATAATATCTTTATTATTTTAATTCAAATTCATTTCTAAAATTTATTATCTTACAATAAATATAATTTAAAATAAATGACAGATGTTTAAAAAAATTCAAAAAAATCAACAATTAAAAAATAGAGAGAATATAATTTAGTATTAGAATTGTCCTTACTAATATTAATTCATAAACTTTTAAAATTTATTAATTTTTTAATTAAAATCGGCCTAATAGATACTAACTCCTAATTTAAAATAAAAATATATTTTATTATTGAAATTGGTTATAGTGACTATACTACTCTTAGTACCTCATATCTCAATCGATTCAAATTTCCTATCGCTGGAGCACTAACACTAATGTCTAAAGAGTTATACAAGGGAAAAAAAAAAGAAAAAAAAAGGAAAATTGATGAAATTTCTCGTAAGAGAAGAGTAATGATATATAAATATCTTTATCTTTTCAATCATTCATTCAACAACTCTTCTTTAATAATACAATAATATTATATTAATAAAAAGGATAGTATTATTTTCCTATGCAAAAAAGCATACACGTTAGTGAAATTAAACTATTATAATATATAATCAATACATAATTATTGCTTTACTTACTGCTCAGCCGATAAATGGTATGTCATATATATAAAATCTCTAATTCTATTGATTGAAGTTTTGAACATGCAGTAACAAACATTTAAAAAAATAAAAAAAATAAGCGAATCAAAATTCATTAAAAAGAGGTACAGAAGTAAATAGAAGTTGGTTACGTACGTAAATCAGTTTGCCATTGAAGAATTCTCCTAAGACATTGAGAATAATGCCAATGTTTTAAAACAAACGAGGAAGATATGTTATTATAATGGAAGAAACCACTCAATCAAACCAACAACATTGAATTATAACTTTGACGTAATCAATCCAGAAAGGAGAACATTTGGTTTTAATAAAAAGCAAGCGATCGATCCCCTTCCACCGAGAGCGACTGGATCTACAAGGCTGCTTCGAAAAACCAGTGAAGAATGTCATGCGTTTCAACCAAGTCACCGGTGGAGGCAGAGAAACCAACTCTGATCCATTCTGGCAAAACATTCCTCAAATCAACGATGGTAGAGACAGTGGCATTCCTATTGTCCCCAGGGTAAACCACAAACGCAGTCAAGTGCTTGGACTCAGAGTTATAGTTTATGGTCGCTTGAGCCACAGCATTATCCGGTTCAAGTTCACTTGGCCATTCCACGGTTGCCACTGACTTGATAGAGTCAACATCAATTCCAACGTGAGGAGACTGAGAAGGTGAATCGGGGTCCCATTCATTGGTATAACTATCAAACTCAATAGCCACTATTTGGTTTTTGGAAGGGTCCAATGCAGTTTCTGGGCTGAAAAGTCCAAGGTACCCTCCACTTGAGTTTGTAGGTAAGAGAATGTTGTCGGCTGGTGCAATAAAGAAGGCAAAACCATCAGCATGAAGGGTTGAACCATTAGGGTTCACGACAAAGGAGAAGCCAGAGCTGAAATCTGCGAGTTTTCCGCTGCTTTTGTCCCAGAGGTGTATTGGTGTGAAATGCACCGCTCGTCCAACACTGTGTGGAACTGGTTTGCCAAGTTGGTCAGTGTTGGTTAGCCTTAGAACCCCATCAGATATTGAGGCATTGCCCAATAATCCTATGTTTGGGTCACCTTCTTCGAAATGAGAGAAGCTGAAGAAAACGGTTTCGTCTCCAGACAGTGGAGATGGTTGTGAGTGGACACTGTGATGTTGTAGCAAGAGGAAAGGGATGAGAAATTTGATAACTAGAATGGAAAAGGGACTTGGAGATTTTGAGTTCCCGAAAGCCATTGTCTGATGCAGAAAAGCAGTGTGAGGCACATGTTAGATATAGGCCTGTGTGGGAACATAAATTGGATTATGTTGCCGAATATATACGGCACGCAATTTTTTATTAAATTGTTGGCGTTTGCCAACTAATAATCCATAAAATAATTTATTTCTGTATAAAATTCATTCTTTCAACTAATTACATTAGTATTTATATTAATAAAAACTACCCTATCACAATTGAGTACATAAACATAAAATTTACATATTTTAGTACATTTTTAATGTGTTTGTTTCTACATATATGTAATTTACGTAAACTTGCATAGATGTCATATGATGTAACTTCATCGATATAATCAATAAAATCGAAGTTTCTTTGATTATATCTCACAACTTAACCATATTCTAATTAAGATTATCCATAAAATCAAATTTTGATGAAAAAGTTATTAAATATAAACTTATAATACGATTAAAACATGATAAACACTATGGTACAACTGAAATACGTTTACATGGTGGTGTGATAAATATAGTGGTGAGGCAAACACGGTGATGTGATACACATTTTGGCACGATTGAAACACAATACTAAAATGTTGTCACGTGCAATTGAAACACGACAAACGTTTAATCTATTATAACTGGTTTAAACCCGTTTAACTGTAGATTAAGTAAGTCAAATTTATTTTTGATCAATTATTGATAGAAATGATAAAATTCGACTCAACTTAACTCGAAAACTCAAACTCATGGTGAACCAAGTTGATTTATGAGTTACATCACCATGATAACCATTATAAATTTTAAACCTAAATATGAATTTTTGTAAATAATGGGAGCGGGAGCAAGTAAAACTATGTAAATCTAAATAATGATTTAAACAAAGTAAATGAATGAACAATGTAAAAAAAATAATTTGGATAAAAAGGGATTAACTTGACATAAAAGCAAATGTAAGTAGAAAAAAAGAATAGTAAAGAGATATATACAATACCGTCAATTTTATTAGTTATTATATATTTACATAAATGTGAGTATTTGAGTATTTTTCACACTAAAACAATTCCCCTAAACCCTATGTATAGACCTATTTTTTACTACAAATCTTCAACGTGGAAAATCATGTGTTCCATGTTTATGATTTTGTATTCTACACCTCGTCAAAGACACATATAATTCATGTATTGTAACATGTTCTTTCATCTAAGTTTTAATGAACATCCACGTCTTTATTTCTTTAACTTCTTTACCGATCTAAAATGTTAATTTCTTACGTTTTATTTCTTCATTACCTTCTTTAATGTCTTTTTTTTTTTTCAAAAATGAGTTCTTCAATAAATTAGTTCTATATTTAACCATATATAAAAATAATGATATAAAAGTAATAATTAACAAATTATTCTTTTTAGTTATGAAGTTAATTTTTCATGAAAATCGATAATCTTTACATAATTTTTATTTAATTTTTTATTTCAATAATTGTGATAATATTATTTTTTTTACAACAATGATATTTGGTAACACCAAGAAGTATTATTATGCTCGTACATTCCATCATAATCGTGATTTAAGGTTAAGAAAAAGTATTGTGTTATAAATCGTTGCACGAATTCAGGGACCTTCTGAGATCAGATACACAAAATCACTTTCTTTTTTGTCTTTTTCTTTCAGGTATCTCTCTTTCTCACATCTTGTGAGTAGCTGTTACTTTGGACAAATGTTAATAATGAAAATTTTGAGTATAATACATGAGAAATTAAGTTATTTTTTCATTATCGTTATTGTAAAATAATATCTATAACTTTCGTTTATTCTTTCTTTTTGTTCATGTTTATCTTCCTTCTGCCCAGTCCACACCAAAATAGGACAGGCATTAACCCTAAACCTGATAGGATTAACTCTAAACGATTCTTCTTCGAGAAATTTATCTGAATTTTTTTCATGATTTTTCATAACTAGTAGATCATGATAGATTCTTGGGGATTGATCAATGGTCAATGTCCAGTTCGTTTATTTAAGTTTTAAGATATATTTAATTATCTTTGTGAAGATATTGTAACTTTTAATTTATGTTCGCTGCTCAATGAGAGAGGACAATTTAGTTGCTATCTTGAAGCTAAATTCATGAATGCCACCTTACAATGGTGCCTCTCAAATTCTTCATATTGAATTAAACAAAAAACTATTGGCTTTCTTTTGGGAGGGTCTGCACATTGCATTTTAACGAATAGGGCTATGTAATTTTATTAGTTGATAATAACAAGGGACAACTCTTTTACTATGCCGGATTATTTAGGTTACCGTAATTAGCTGTATGTTGTTGATTGAAAATGACCTGTTCTATTAAATCTAAAAACGACATAGATTACAGTTTGAAACAAACCAAATATGTCCAATTGAATGACAAAGATATATTGGATTGGACTATCTAAGCTTGATAATTTATATATTTCATAGCAGATCTTCCTCGCATTTTTCGCCCATGTTTGACGACGGCCAAACTATGTTCTCTGCCTAGTTTGTCCAAATGTATTGTTTTCCTAAGCAGCCAGCAAAACTGAAGGGCCTATAAATACCTGCATTCTTCCCTCACTCTAAGCATCATCACAAATCATCCACAACAATACTACAATGGCCAACCATGCAACTCAAAACCCATTCTCTGTTTTCCTTATGGTCTTCATCTTTTGCCTCTCGCTGATTACCTGTGCCAGATCAGACACATTTTCTTTCAACCTACCCAGTTTTGAGCCGGGTATTAAAATCATACTAGTGGGTGATGATGCCCAGACAACAGGTGGAGTACTACAACTCACCAACAAGGACCAAAACGGCAATCCAACTCAACACAGCGATGGCCTCTCAGCATACTTTGCACCACTTCAACTCTCCGACTCTAAAACTGGCAGGGTGGCAGACTTCACCACCGAGTTCTCCTTTGTTGTCGACACAAAGGGTGCATCACTCCACGGCGACGGCTTCACCTTCTTTCTTGCATCAGTCAATTTTGATTTCCCTGACAACTCAAGTGGTGGGTTCCTCGGGCTCTTCAACCAGGATACAGCATTCAACACCTCCTTAAACCAAGTGGTGGCTGTTGAGTTTGATAGCTTTGCAAATGAATGGGATCCCAACTTCCCACAGTCTGATTCTCCTCACATTGGAATCGACGTCAATTCCATTAGGTCCGTGGCAACTGCGCCATGGCCACTTGATATTCAACCACAAGGATCAGTAGGGAAGGCATGCATAAGCTATCAATCTTCGTCCCAAATATTGAGTGTCTCCGTGACTTATCCAACTAGTCCTGCGAATAACGCCTCAGTTGTATCGTATCCCGTTAATTTAGGGACTGTTCTGTCAGAATGGGTCCTAGTCGGTTTCTCTGGTGCCACCGGTGACTTGGTTGAAACACACGACATTCTTTCATGGTCTTTCAGTGCCTCTTTGTAGAGCAGTACCAATGGGAGAATAGAATAAAGTGCATGGTGAGAGAATGATCGATGTTCTTTTATGATTTGATGGGTGTTGTTACTTGTTACTGCTGTCATGTTTCCAGTACCGGTTTCCCCAATAAGGATTGCTTTAAAATTATTATTTTATGAGTAATACTTTTTTGCATGGACGCTCTGCAATCAATTTTTGTAGTTCTCTTTCAATTTGTTTTAAAATTCTGGTAAGTCGTGTTTTAAAATATAATTTTAGCATAAAAAAAATTCATTTTTTTAAATCAATTTTTTAATATAAAAGTTGAATACTGATATACTATTTTAATATTTTTATTATTATTTTTTCCTTGAGAATTTTTTTATTGAAGTCATGCATTAATTAACGTTGAAACTTTTTTTTTTAAGTTGCGACAACTTTAATTATAGACTTGTTTTTATTTTTTATTTATTAAAAGTTTAGTTTTTAATATTTATAATTAATAAGATAAATATTTTTTTGTATTTAAACATTAATATTATTAAATAATGCTTAAATAGATTAACTTGTTAAAAAAATATTAATATAATGATGGAAAAAAATATTAATATGGTATAAGAAAACAAAATTTGATATTGTGATTGTAGATATGAATAATTATTAAGATGATCTTCATTTCGCATTTTTTAATTTTTTTGTTGAAATTAAGAGTAATATTATTGTTTTTTTATGTATAATCAATTATATTATATATTTTTTTAATGTATCTTTTATTATTTATTTAATTTTTTCATCATCATATTAAATATGATTACAAAAGTCTTAACTTCAATTAATATATTATATTGGACATATGGTACCTATAACAGAAATTTAAAAATGCGGAATGAAGATCATTATAATGATAATTGTTCGGTCAAATATTAAATTTATTTTTTATAATATATTAATTTTTTTCATCATTATATTGATATTTTTTAATAATTTAATCTATTTAAAAATTATTTAACATTATTAATATCTAAATACAAAAAATATTATTTATTTTATTAATTATAAACATTAAAATAAATATTTTAATAATTGAAAAATAAATAAAAAATACAAAATAACTAAAGTTATTATAATTGATTAGCTACTTCAAAAATAATTTCTTAACTTAAACCATGCATCAATCAACTTCAATAAAAAAATCTCGTGTAAAAAAGCCGTTAATTAGTTCACGATTTAAAAAAATAATAATAATAATTTATTAAAGTCGTATATTAATATAAAACTTCAGTAGTAATAAAAAAAAGGAAGAAGTCGTAATTTAAAATACAATATTTTATACTGAAATTATATTTCAAAATAGGATCTACTCAGATTCAAAAAATTTTAAAAATATTATAAGAAATAAATTGGGCACCAATACCTTCCTCTGTTGGTAACATAAAAATCTATCTATGCTTACCTAGCTTTCTCTTTTCTGTGTCAGGAGATTTGATAATGGTTTCGGTTGCATATCAATTCAATTAGAAGTATGTAAAAAATAAAACTAAGTAGCAAATGAAGTAGTACTAAAATATAATCTAGATCAAAACCATTCT